TTTCTACGATGGCCTCTGTTCTCCATTACAGAGGGAGGCCTGCTCTAAACACCACAGCGCAGAAGAGCAGATGAGAGGAGGGGATTTCCCATCTCCTCCTTTCTCAGGCCTGCCAGTTGCTGTAACTCACACCCCTGGGAGGGCCGACATGCAGCCTGGGGCACTGGGTGACGCCAGCCTGTCAAACATGCAGCAAAGATGCTCCTTGGAATAACATCTTGATGGCAGGCTGTCAATTCACCCCAGAGAGCCAAGAACAGTCATGTTAGAAGCCTGAGGATGTGGGTACCCCGAGGACCATCCTTTATAGGTGAAACCTTGTGGCCATGAGCCCCAGCGGCTGGGTGTGGCACTGAGGCGGCTACTGGGACAGTGGCCGTCTTCACCCAAGGCCTTTCATCACCAGAGGCCAAGGTTCTGGGCCCTTCCTGACACTACACTTGCTTTTGTTCCTTGGAGTTGCCCACTCCTGTCCCAGTGCCCTTCGATGTCCTGGCTCTGGGCACCCTGCTCTGGTGCACAGACCCTAAGGGGCAGAGCTGTGAAGAACACCTAACCTTCCCTTTGCCATGAAGGGAACTGTGTGTGGTCTCAACAAGTATGTGTTTACCTGCTTGGCTCTAATTTTAAGAATAGGTACACTGTTTTACCTCAATAAGGTGGGGTCTATAAAATGCTTTTAGCATCCAACTGTTCTATGATATGAGAAATATACCTATTAGTTTTGAGGTATTTCTAATTTGGGAGGCCTTTGGTTAGCACAGTACAATGGACATGGTAATTATAATTAATACTTTGTTCAAAAGAGAATTTCAGGCAGACACCTGTTATGCAGATGGCATCTAATAAACCTCTCTTAGATTGGATGGAAGTTAGCTTCTAATCCAGGGGAGACCAAGCCTGCAGAACTGGACACAGGGTGCAGGCCTGCCCTGAGCAAAGGGACAGCTGTCCTAAGACAGAGACTAGGCACACCCCAGCTCAGGCTGCAAGTGGCTGCTGGGGGCACAGGAAGAGGCACATGGGAACCAGGTTTTCTCTTTAGACTGGAGAACATTGTTGTTTCAATTCTCAGAGGCTTGATTTATTTTCTCATAATACCTGACCTGCCTATTTCCTAGTTGTTCTGAGCTTAAAATAAATCAATACATATGGAACACCAAGAAAAAATAACAACACTCTATAAATAGAAGATACTAGCTAAGTGTACTTCCATCCATACTGACACGTGAAGCAGAGATGTCGAGTTTCCTCCCACACCCCTCCTGGAAGGCTGCTTGTTGAGGGTCCCTTGCTGGACGTGTCTGCAATTTTCTGATGCTGTCAGAAGTTGTCTTACGTGCAGAAGGGGACAAGGGAAGAGCTTTGTGAATGTGGACACCTGAAGCGCTCCATTTGGCCCCAAGTGCTAGCAGCCCTCTTACAAAGGGGAAACAGTAAGAACAGCCCAGATGATCGCGTAGGTCTTTTCTACCTGTGTGAAACAGGTAGCATGATTCATATACATTTGACATAAATGTACCGGATTGTGATGATTTGCCTTATACTCAGCTGAGAAGTGGATTAACTAGCAATAATGTGCCGAGAATGCAAAGCATGACCTCTGATTAAAACGGAAGGTAGGGAGTGGGTTGTTTCATGGTTAAAGCAATGACCTATGACTCAAAGCTCTGAGTTTCTAATCACATATCCGTAACCTTGTATGTGACACTGGGAGGCTTGCTAGAAGCCTTCAAGAGTACCCTTAATTTGTACTTGCTGGTCACTCACCCTTAAAATGATTGTAATAAGTCCTTCCTCTGAGAAGAGTGTGGGTGATAATTAATGGTTAATAGTACTAAAGGGAGAGCCATCAGTAAAGACTGCCAGATGCCTGTAATGCAAAGACTGCTCATAGAGAGTGTTCATGTTCAGATTATTATCTAGAGATGCTAGAAAAATGCAAATCCCAGTTTCCAGATCTCCCTGTGCTTTTCCCTTTCAAATCAACTACCCTGTCCAGTGGCAGCTACCACTTGTGGCTACTGAGCATTTGAAATGTGGCTAGTGAGGCTTAGGAAGTAAATTTTACATTTGATTTCATTTTAATGAATTGAAATATTTATGTAAATAGCCACATGGGGCTAGTGGATACCATACTGATAGGCACAATTCAAACCTCTTCAAAGTATCTGCATGAAAGTGAGGCTGGGAACACAGTAGGAGGTAAACTAACTAGTTAGTCTTTATGTTCAAAACAGTTTTTTTCCTCCTTTTTTCTCAGGTTGGTGGGAAAGTGGCTGAAACTAGGGTCTGAAGAAAAAAGATTACCAAAAGCACCAGTTTCCCCCCACTTCTGTACTATTTCCCTCTCTTGTCACGGGTTTTACAATGAGAAGACATCAAAATTCATTAACAAAAAGCTAAGCTAGATTGCATTATTCTAAAGCAATACTTTTCTATGCAAACTTGAGAAAATAACCAGTGAAGGTAAATCCCGAGAGGTACACTGCCTCACTCGGCACTCTTCTGAGATCACCTCTGAGGCCCCCCGGAGCCAGGACTGTTCTTTGTCAGAAGGCCTGCCCCCCTCCAAGCTCCACCTACATCTGCAGCTCAGCCTCGACCCCCACCCCCACCCCAGACACAACAACTGATGACCAGAGAGTCAAACTCTCCGCGCTGTCTCCCGTTCCCTCCAGACGAGGGTGTCCTTTCTTTCGTGGGTTTTTCACGTACATTTGGTGGCAGGAAACTGCAGGAGATACATAATGCCAGAAACCTGGAGGACTTCCCTTCTTGCCCTTGCACAGCGTTCCCACGGCCCAGAATGGGGTTTGAACAACCAGTGGTTGTTCTCCTTAATCTGTGTCCTCCTCCTCAAATCGAATTTACTCAAACTCTACCTGGTATACAGAATTTATCCTTCCTGCACGCCTTAGTTTATTACTGTTTTTTGTATCTATTTATTTTTTGGCATCTTTTTTTCTATTTTTTGTATCTATTATTTCATTTCTCAGGTATTCTAAGCTCTAATAATGGAACAGGGGTTCAGATACTGTAATTCTCCTGTGCACTGCCCAGCACAGTGTCAGACGTAACTAGGTGCTTAACCAATATCACTAGATAATGGATATAAAGACTAGTAGACTCCACGGATTTTTATAGCTTTTGGATTTTAAGGTACTTTTTTCAATTCAACATAATCCAGAAAACAATGCACTTTTGCCCTTGTTGGATTTGTTGAGGGGGGTGGATTAGGCTTGGTTCTTTTGGGGAAGGACTTCGGCATGGATCATGTTTTCAGGTTGATGTCATGATTGTTTCAAGGTTAGGAAAACGGCCCTGAACTCAGCCAGCCACTGCATGATTGGCACAGAAAGCTGGCAAGACAAATATACTGCTGGTCCCCACTTTCTCAACAGTGCAATGGAGAGAGACTAAAAGTCCTTGTCATGAAATAGCCACCATGTCCCACTAGAGACAAGTAAAGGAACTACTGAGGCTGCCTGAGGAACTTTGCAGTCTGTTCAAATTGGGAACGAGGTGAAAGTAAAGAGCACAATGAATGATGGCACATCCATCACAGCCATTCTTCCACTAGGCTCTGCCATCACCCAGGGTATCTCCTTGCACTTATATTTTATAAGCAGATTGTTTTGAAATAGAAAACCATTCAGTCTGCTCCCAAACTCATCCTTAACTGAAAGATTAGAGTCTAAATAAATGGAAATTTAATGAAGATTTAAGACTAAACTAGTAATAAAAGTGCTCCCTCTTTTCCAAGTTGAAAAGTCTAAAACAAACAATGAAACAGTGATTCTCCAACCTGGGTTCTTCGATCAACTGCATGACCATCACCTGGGAACTTACTAGAAATGTAAATTCTCGGGCCCCACCCCAGACCTACTAGGGTAGAAACTTTGGGGGTGGGGCCCAGCAATCCATGTTGTTAAAACACTTCCACCATTCTGTACTAATAGTTGAGAAACACTGCTTTAACCTGATGTTGAAATCATGAGGCTAGTCTTCTCAATGTTGTACTAAAGTGTGCTAAATGGTGTCCCTGAAATGTCAAGTCCTTCCCAATTCTGGAAGCAAGGTCTGACGGAGCACTGACCACATCCAGCCAATAACCCCTACTTCTGAGTTCTAACAGATCTGCACATTGGGCTACCTGGGATGGGATGGAGCCTCCCCTACACTCTCCCAGGCAGCTGGCAGGCACTTCTGAGCTGAGTCACACACACTTCATGTGGGAGATGCAGAGCTTCGGAAAGGGACCTGGTGTCGGGGGAAGAAGGGAGGGCATTGGAAATCTACCAATTTTCCATCAATTTTAAACATTCCTTTTTTGGAGGGGAGCAAATATCAGTACTTTTCAATTACTATTTCACAAATAACAGTCAAAAGAAGGACCGTGCTTATAAAACTTAAAAAAAAAATAGGGTTCCTTTGCAGATAATGGCTTGTGCACTGCACTAAATCATGCATTTTTCATGGTGAGTATGGGCGATGGCCAGAGCACAGAATCTGGATAATTCACTGCCAGTGTGTGTCTCTGTGTGCTTATTTTCCGCAACCACAGCTACCCTCCAGATTGTAAGGGGAATTATAAAGACTTTACTGACCAAACGGTCCAAAGGCTTTCAAAGCTCTGTTCGATAACAGTGTTTGCTCATGTAACCTAGTCTTTGTGTGCCCCAAGAACATGAGGACAGAAAAGTGTCAAAGCACCATATGCACAATAACATTTTATGATATTTTGCAACATGAGAAAAACCTTCGAAAAATGGAAATGCAAACTCTCCTCCGTAACTTTTCTCATTTTAAATCGCACTTCTCATCACGACCTATTACACCCACATAGTCATGTGCTGGAGGCACTGCACGCCGTCTCCAACATTTCAAAGGCTCAAAAGATATTTTTAAAGCCAAAACACAATCTAGGTTGCTATTCTTTAAAGCACTTTTTAAGGAACATATGAGTTTTCATGCATGTGGGCAGTTAGCCAACTCACCAAAAGATTGAATGCAGCTGTCAATGAGATCGTCCAGGCTGGCTCCTTTGGCTAAATGTCCCAGAGACACCATCATTCGGAACTGGGTAATCTGGGCCAGGCTGGGATGGGAGGGGAAGGGGCTGCTGGCTGGCTTTGCCTCTAGTTTTGCTCTCGGGGCAGCTCTGCAGCCATGTGAAGGTTTCCTGCGGAAAAAGAGCAGGCAGTGAGTGCAGGCAGAGCGGCCAGGGGATGAGCACACTGGCAGCTCCACTTCTGAAGGCAGATCGAGGAGGGAGGAGTAGAGATAAGACAATTAATCCTGGGAGCTGGGATGAGAGAAGACACACCCCTCCCACTTGGCACATGCACCAAAGGACTGGTTGGCTGTTAAAGAGACATCTCCCCTGGAAGTAACAAGGTGAGATTGCGGGGTTGCAGCTAGTGCTCTCCATCCTCGGGTAGGATGGCTTCAGCCTGCTGTCTCCTGAAGGGGAGAGGCAGAGACAAGACTATGTTAGCAGTCCTTAACTCCAAGCAATTATTTTTTATTTCAACTGTAAGCCCACTGACTTGGGCTTTAAGAATGGTTTAAGTTGATCTCATCTTCAGCTAAATTCAGTCATTTTTGAGCGATACCAGAGATGCTGTAGGTCAAGTGGCCTCAGAAACAATAACTTCAAGGACTTTGGGGGAGAAGTCAAGGACAGGGGACCCGTGTGCAAGAAGTGAGGATTTATGGTGGTGGTGTTTAGGTTTTAAGCCAGTCCTGCCTTTCTCACAAATCTTGGTTTTAAGATTCTGTTTGTCACTATTGATAATACAGGTAATCATTATGAGTCATTTTTATCCATAAATTCATTCTATCAAGTCCTTACTAATTGCAAAAAGCAGCAGAGCTTATGAGAGCTTTATTCCAGAAGTGAATGCTAAAGGATGAGTCTGGGTCTGGAAATGTCTTAGGAGTCCAATAGGTCACCATCTGCTCTCACTCAGCTTTATTTTTGGTCACGACCTCAGCACTATAAGTCGTTCGCAAAATTATACAAGATTAAGCATTTAATTTTCCCTTCCATTAACAAAACACATACACAGATGCATATCTACAACCTTTTAAGTTTTAATACTGATAGGTGTTGCTGGTAACTTCTTTGAGCGTATAGTTAATTCTCCTCTTGCTACTGTGGTTGTGGTTATTTCATAGCTTACTGCCAAAGAGGAGACAAGAAAAAAGAAATACACCTCAGATCCATAACTTCAGCTACTCACTATGTATTTTGATACACACGATGGCATTAATCAGTAAGTGCTTATTCCATGAGAAAGACATTGTAATAGGCCCCAGGGGACTGCAGTGAGATAGTTTACATTTGAGGGTACTAGGTAAACTGTAAAACATACTTGTGATACGTTACATAAAGGGGATCTAGAGGTTCCTAATACAAAAATGTAGTTGGAGATTTTATATTGGCTGTTGGGAATCTGCTAACCCAAAGGAGTGACACCTAAAGATCAAGTTGGTGTTATAGGACTTTATTGAATTTCTGGCCGTTACCCATTTTCACCCAGGCCCTGTGATAACCCCAGGGTCCGATCAGTATCTGAAAATGAAAGAAAATAATAATGGCCATAATGATTAAGTGGTACATACTTCTACTTATAAAATAAATAAGTCACAGGGATGAAATGTACAGCACAGGGAACACAGTCAATAACATTTTAGTAACTTTGTATGAAGACAGAGGGTAACCACACTCACCTTGGTGTGAGCAATTCATAATGTATGTAAATGTCCAATTACTATGCTGTAGTTCTGAAACTAAAATCTTATTGTATGTCAATTATACTTGAATTAAAAATAAATACATTTTTTAAATGGCTATAATAAATTAAGTACCTATGATATGGCAGGCACTGTGCTGATTTACATGGTCTTTAAAGCTTACAGTGCAGAAAGATTTTATCTCCGTTTCACGATGTTGAAACTGAGTCTAAATGTGGCTAAATGACAGTCAAGGTTCTACAATCCATGTTAGATCTGGGATTTGTACCTGATGCCTCTCTGGCTTTGTTTAAAAATATTTATTGTGCCTGGAACCTGGAACCATGAACCTTCACTGTGTCAGAATTAGCAAGTAGACTGTGGCACAGAGGATGAAGAGGTCAATTCAAGACAAAAGGAAAATCCTCCAAAAGCGTAGCTTAGATAACATAAGGGCGGACTGTCAGGCCCTACTCCTTCTGCAGGTCCCTGAACAGCCCTCACACCCCAGAGCTGGGTGGGCTCCTCATGGCCATTTTCCGAGACCTTGTAGATGAGGGAGGCCAGGCTCAAAAAGGCAGCATGATTGGCCACTGGTGCAGAGGCAGATAGAAGCCAGGCCTCCTGTGTCCCATGCGGTGCTCGCCAGCCCAGCTCCCTTCCCTTCCAGAAGCACTGACAACTCTAAACTGGGCACTGGCAGTCCAGTGTTAGAATTACCCAGCTTTGTGCCTTAGCTGTTACCTTTTCACCATTAAGACCTCTGTCCAAGGCACAGCTGGGAAAGATGGGGAAAAAAAATGCTTCTCAGTAGAAGTCTTTCTCTGTTAGCCTTCCACACTACTTCTCCCCAACCCCTAGGAAAGAGGCAGCGGCAAGTGATGGCTGCCTCCACGTCCACACACAGCTCTTCCAGCTAGGGCAGGGCAGGAGGTGTGGACCTCAGTCTCTCAACTGGTAGACCCAAGGAAAATCCATTTTCTCACTCAGTTGGTGGACTCTGCCGTAAGGATTCTGCAAACTGCCTCGGCTCTAATTCTAGTGATAGTTCACCAGTAGGGAAGACCACTTGGGTTCACAAGGTGATTCTCAGAGGCAAAAGCTTTCCAGAAGTAGGAGGGTCTGGGGTACATGAAGTAGAAAGACTGAATTTGAAAGGAGTGCTTAGGGTTGGTGGAAAAAAGGGAAGGTGAGAGATGCAATCTGGGAAATAGGGAGGCCAGAGAGACTGAGGGCTGGGGGCATGATAAACCAGGGAGAAGACAAACTGCTAAAAACCAAACTGGGACCTGAGGGGCCTCAGAAGAGGAGGGTTATTTGCACCATAAACTAGGAAACTCTGCTCTTTGGCTGTGTAGTCTCTTGACTGGCTGCTTTGTGTCAAACCTTAAAGTCATTCTCACTTGTGGTGAAATGGCTGTAGGTAAGGATTTATAAAATGCTTCATTATAGGCAGGTTTGTTTGGCTTGTTTGGGGGACAAACTCAAAGTTCTCTGGCTCCTCCAGGCCTCTTTCTCCTGTCAAGGACCATTTCACTCACTGTCACTCTTCCTTCATCTTCAAGACTTTCCTGAAATCTCTCTCTCTACTCACAGTGGGACGGGGAGGGAGCACAGGTTTCTACCAGGTTATATGGTTCGCTGACCTCTGCTTGTTCTCTGCAAACGCAGCTGGCCTTTCGGGGCCCGGCCCGCGAGCTTCAAGGCCGGGATTGGCCGCCAGGTGGCGCTGCCGGAGTTCTGCGCCCTTAGCAGGTGCGGGTTCCGCGGAAAGTCCGCGAGTGGGAGTCCCAGGTGTGTGGGGCAGAGGGGCCGGGGGGTGGGGTGGGGGGATGAGGGTCAGCGCAGCTCGGGGTCTCGCTGGGTGACGTCTGGCCTCCGCCCGCATAACCCAGCTCCCTCCTCTTCCCCGGCGCGGCGCGCTGGGCGCTCCGGGCGCGTCGGTCCCTCGCGCACGTCTCCCCGGACTGCAGCGGAGACCCCGGCCTGCAGCCGCCCGCACGCGGCACCGACAACTTCGCGCAGGAGGTGGCATCCGTGTCGCACCCCGCACCCCCTCCGCTCCCGAGGGTCTCAGGGAGCAGCCCGCGGAGCGCACTTGCCCAAGGAAAGGAAACATGCTCCCGAGGGCCTGGGCCCCTACTCACCGCGGAGCCTCTCTCGCTTTGCCCAGGGTGCCCATGGCTACGGCCCGCGCTCCTGCCGCCGCTCACCTCGCGCGGCGGGAAGGGCTCGGCGCGGCGCGGCGCATCACCGCCGCCGCCGCCTGCCGGGCCCCCGCGCCCCGGGCCGCCCCCCGCCGCTCTCCGAGCCCGGCGAGCCCGAGCGAGGCGCACCCGCAGGCTCAAACTTTGTGTGAGCGCGCCCCCTCGCCTCTCCCCGGCGCGCGCGCACGCCCGCTCGCACCAACCACCTGACACACGCTGATCTTATCGGCGGTAGGAAACGTGTGGCGCCCTGCAGCTCTTCTCCGAAACCTGCCCCCATGACTCGGTGGCGCCCAGAGGCCCGCGCCTCCCGCGCTTCTCGCCTCTCCCGCTGCCATCTAGCTCTCCCAAAGGGAGCCAGAGAGGAAGGGAGGCTCCGGGCGCACTGGATACCCCCAAATCCGCGCCTGGAGAGAACTTGGGAGTCCGAGGGAACGCGACCCCCGCCCCGCCTGTCAGCCCGCATTTCAGTCCTGGTTCTCGCGGACCCCCCTTTGTCCCCTCGTAGGCCTCTCTTGTATATAGCACAGCCCCGAGACGGGGGCAGGAGAAGGAACTGATACACAGTTGTGGATGTGCCTTAGCCCGCGCCTTCGAGTGTCTACTTGGTAGCAATTTGCAAGCCTGGGCTGGAGATACCTGCCCTGCACCCTGCAAGCGGCGGCGGTGTGGAGGTGTGCTCCCCAGGTGTGATCCATACGGGCGAGAGACAGCTGCCTGGCGTCTGTGGGTGTGGAAGATGTGGGGAGACGACAGAGGCACGGGGAGGGGTGGGGAGAACTTCCTTACAGCCGATCTGAACAGAGATTGCGGCCTATCCCTGCTTGTCCGAAAGACAGTGACGGTAACAATAGTTCATGTGGACTGAGTGCGTGTGCTAAGGGCTTTCTAACACAGTGCCTCATTTAAAACATCTTCCCCAAATGCCAACAGGTCATTTTAGAGATGAGAAAATTAACGTTTAGAGAATAATATGCCTTCCTAACGCCCAACGAGTAAACAGCAGGGAGAACTATGAACTGAGCTGGGATCTCTCTGACTCCTGTAATAGCTGCTGGATATCCTAATAACACACCCAGTATCATCATAACATGCCACAACTCCAGCCACAATAATAGGTCTCTTCCCAACCATAATGTTCTGGGCCTTAAAGCCTCCCTCTGATTTCATTTATATATTTCCTCACATTTATATCTTTAAAAAAGAAGTCAAGGTAATTTACAAAAGTACATAACCTACGAAAAGTGTGTGAAATGAAAAGTGAAAAATAAGGCAAAAAAATGGAGCCAGAAATGAAAGTCGTTTTTTTTTAAATACATCTAATAGAGTCCAATACACGTGCTACACATGGAAACAAAATTTGTATCCCAGATTTCTAGCAGTCATGTTCAAAAGGGAGGCTTTGTCTAAAATTCTATTCCTGTCACATGCAAGACAAAAAAAGAAAAAAAAAAGATTGCTCAACAAAAGATCAACTCTTCTTGGTACTGAGACCAGAAGAAATTTCCCCAGAGAATCCTTATGAACATTGGGTAATAGAATCAAGTCCTTGGTCATGCTATATACATATAGAAGAGGCATGTGGACATTCAATAAATATTAAATCGTGACACTCTTGCGGACATGTAATGTATATGCACATGTATATATGCCAAATGGATAAACATATAGCTTTACGTAAATGCACAATTATATGCAAATGTGTGTTAATATATATAGGTAGATAGGCTATTTGGTGTATACACACAATACTAAACACACATGGCAGTTGTACACACCTATACACCTGCTGTCCTTGTATATGTGTGTGTGTGTGTGTGTGTATATATATATATATATATATATATGTATATAATGTATAGAAAATATTTGTTATTATTTCATTCAAGAAATGGGTCTTGCTGAGTTTTCCAAAGAAAGAGGCCTGCTTCTTTCTGGAAAACTTCTTTCTTTCTGGCTTCCTGAGAGTGCTGGATTCCACTTGCACGTGAATCTGTTTCTGGACCCACCTGAGCTCTTTGATGAAGCTTTCTGGCTGTTCCTACCTAAGCAATTTGTCTTTTTCAAACGTCTAAAAAATGAGAAGACAGCTCCAAGTCTTCATTTTCTGCCATGAGGTTAGTCTCCCTGGTGTCTGGGGCACCTCTGACCTCAAAAACAAAGTTTTCCTTCTTTTCTCTGGTTCTCTCCCCTACCCTCTCTTCTGCTGCCCCAGCTTCTTTGATGGGCAGTAAGTCACCATTCTCTGTAGCAGTATGCTGAAGGGCTGGGGCCACTGTCTTCCTCTGCTCAATCCTCGGGTGAGGTCATTCCTTGGCATTCTTCCTCTTTTCAACCAGACATTCCTAACATGTTCATGGGCTTTTAGTGAGTATTTGGGAAGCCTCTGAAACCACAGTACCTGCTTTCCTCAGATTTTCTAAATGATCCATTACTCAAGTTAAGTGTTCTTATTTTCTTCTATGACTTCAACAGGACCCATATAACTCTCATGTCTGCTACCCAGCCTTGTTATGTAACATCCACATGCACATTTCCAACTGGTTCCCTCTTCGAACCATCCCACAGGGCTTCCTCTCCATCTCCACAGCCACCTGCTGGTCTTGGCTCTCATGACCTCTGAACCTGGACATGTGTAATAGCCTCATAAGTAGCCTCCCTAATTATAGAGCCTCCTCCTCTGATCCTTCTTTGATATTCCTTTCAGAGTTACCCAATTGTGTCATTTCTCTGCTTTCCAACTGTCAAGGAACCCAGTTACCTACAGAACAAAGTGCAAACTTCTTAACATTATACATCTTCACAACCAGAACCTGCCTGTCCAGGCTGACCCCTGGCCATGCCTTCCTGGGCATCTGACCTCTCAGATTTCACCTTGGTGACTCCTGGTAGCTGTTGTGCCCCGAACCCTTGCAAGCCCCAGTGCTTTTGCTCATCCACTTCCTTCTGCCTGCACTCTCTTTTCACCTGGTAAACATACAAAGGCACAGTTATACCAACCACATGTCAAACTGACAAGTCACCCTGGAGGACACATACAGGGCTGCCTCCCAGGTGTAGAGGGTACAAGCCAACTTTTCAGAATCTGCCTGATGACTGGCTGTGGTTGGAGAACCTATTGGCTACCACAGCTTCCACTCTACTGCCTAATATTTCTTCATTTCGGATACATTCAGTGGGTGCCTTTCTAGTGTTAGACGCTGGCCTTGGCATTGAGAATCTTGTAGAGAACAGGAACAAGAGAGACAAGATCCTTGTCCACACGAGTTTACATATCTAACAGACAAAGTCAGCAAATGAACAATTACACCATGATTTGACACCCTGATTTCCAGGGGCTGCCACTTCAGAGTCAGGTTACCCTGCCCTAATGGATAAGTCCCCCTAATGGTTGAGTCCCCCCTGTGGAACTGTGAGGACAAAGCTGCCACTGTTAGGGGCACAGAGCTCCAGAGGAGAGTGAGAAGAGATGGAGAGGGGAAAAGAGGCAGGGGACATGGCACCACCTTTGCTCTCCTGCTGAGCGCTGCTCCTGCTTCTGAGCCAAGGTGACCTGGTCCCGTCGTCTCTGTGACTGGCTGTCCCACACACCAGCCCATGGGACACGGTCAGTCTCTGTAGCTGCTCACCTTGGACCAAGGGCAGAGGAACGGTTCCTGTGCAAAGTGGCGCCTGGGCCCCATGCCTGGTGGCTGGGGGCTTGTGGTAGTGCCGCTGGGTCTCTGTCCTGCCACCTTCCCCAGGATGCAGCCGCGGCCTCTCGGGAGTCTCTCCATCTGGGTGCCAGCTGCTCTGCAGGGTGTTCTGTCTCCTCGAGGGGCCCCCAGGATTCTCTAAGTAGAATTTTATGAATGTCGTATAAAGCATATTTTAAGACAGATCATCCCTCTTATAGACCCCAAATGTGAACACCTATTGTTGTTTTCAGCTTCTTTAAAGGATGCTGCTTCCCAGAGCCCCCAGCTAAAAGTTGTATGTGTTTACATCATGGAGTCCATATTTTTTATTTTGAAATTTTTTTTTTTTAGGATGCTAACACAAGAGATAGATACATGTTGTCCCATGGTCTTTACTCTTAGTGAGATGGGAGTCCCTGGAGGGATCTGAACAGAGGAGGGATGGGACCAGATTTCTGCTTGATAGGATCATTTAGGTTGCTAAGTTCCAAAGGACTCATGAGGCTTTTCATGGAAGTGTCCCTCATAATTTCCAACTTCTGTGCACACCCGCTTGGTGGCTTTCAAACATCTTTGAACATCAATCGGTGGTGAGAAGTGTAAAATCTCATTTTATACTCTATGACTCAGATGTACATTTATGCCACGTAAAACTGAAACACAGGCTGTGTGAAACACGAGTCTTCCAGAAAGCTTTTCTAATTAAAAAAACAAATGCTGGTCAGAACCCACTAAATTGATCCATTACTGGGTTGGGATTATAGTTTACAAAATAGAACTGTAGGTCTACCTCTCATGATAAATTAGATCTTGGTAGTTACCTCAGGAAAAGGGAACTAGGTAGCTCTGAGTGGGAGAAATCTTACTTTGTGCTATTTCCCCTTTGTAACTTTTACTTTTGTATTATATGTAAGCATCTATTCAATAAATAAGTCCTGTTTTGAATCATTTTGGCATAGAACTTTTTGTTTCTGATTCGGGCCCAAATGGCTTTTAAAAACCAGAGACTGGAGCCAGCAAAGGTAAGATGTTGGTAAACCTCTTTTGTAAACATTTATCAAAAAATATCAAACAATATATTTTTCAAAAATATTTGGGAGACAGAATGGCACAGTAGTTAGAAGTATGAGCTCTGGAGTATGATTGAATTTGAATTTCAGCCGCCTTCCTAGTGTTGTGACCTTGAGCAAATTAACTCTTATAAGACTCAGTTTCCATGTCTGTAAAAAGGGTACAGAAAAGGCCTACCTAATGGAACTTTGCTAATGATTGTATGACATGGTTTGTGCCTCGCAGACATTTACTGTTTTGAGTGATTCCTTTGTGCCAGGCTGTGGGCACACAAGGTGAATGTTTCAGGAACCTAGCAATGCTGTGCAGTCACATCTAAAGGACACCTACCCTAGTTCTCGGTTGTTGGGGAGCTGCCTTCG